CATCCAAAACGTTTTCCCTCCATTGCACCTGCAGGATACAACTACTTGGAAAGATATGAGGCGTTGATGATTATTCATGCTGTTATAACATAAGCACAATGCTCAGTATAAATCAATGTGTCAATTTTTAATAAATCTGAATTCATTCTTCTTGGAAGTATGGTTGAAATGGAACAGACAACTGCAAAGAAAGCAGTACTTCTATAAACTTTTCTTTATCTTTCCACTCAGAGTTCACATGAAATGCTGCAAAGTTTAGATATTTTACACTTAAAAAGATAGTAACTAACTTCAGAGGACATGGGCAGTTTGGTGGATTGGTCAGATACTGAGAAAATAAAATTCATGAACAATGAGACAATACAAGTTAACGAGTACAAGTTTAAAGACCATGTATGAATGGATAGACCTGAGAAGTCTCTGAAGAAATCTTTGAAGATCACAAGACAGGTTAACAAAGCAGTTAATAACTAAGAGGTTATGCTAAACCTATATAAAAGATCAGTTTCACCCCAGCATCCTAATTCTGTACACCACAATTTATGAAGGATGAAAGAGTTTTATAGAGGATACACTAGTGATTTATTATAGTAGTTCCAGAGATCCAGTTATAAGGATAGACTACAGAAAATGGAGTTGTCCTCTATACAGCAGAATAGGCTGTGAAGATTCAATAAAGGTTTTGAAATTATGACATGCTCAGATTGAATAAATAAAAAAAAAAGTTGTTTCCAATGGCTGAAGGTTCAATGACCAGAAAACATGGATTTAAAATGATTAGCAAAAGAAGCAGAGGTAACACAAGGGGAGAATTTTATTTTCAAGTGGAAAAGTGGTTGGGATTTGTAAAACACTACTTGTTATGACAGTAATCCAGATTCAATGTTCTAACCCCCCCTCTACAGACCCCTTCTCCTGCCTCCAACACACCCCATCCTCCTGGACACCACCCCAAGTCCTCCTACCATCCCTCGACCTCTTCATTTCCAACTGCTGTCGCGACATCGATCGCCTCAACCTCTCCACCACTCTCAGTCACTCCAACCTCTCCCCGACAGAACGTGCATCCCTCTGCTCCAAACCTAACCTCACCATCAAACCTGCAGACGGGGAAGGTGCAGTTGTGGTATGGCGCACTGACCTATACATTGCCGAGGCCAGGCGCCAACCCTCTGATGCCTCCTGCTACCACTCCCTTGATCATAACCATACCCCTGACCACCAAAACATCTTCTCAACTCCCCCTCCCACTCCCTGGACGACATGTCCATCCTGGGCCTCCTCCAGTGTCACAACGACGCCATCCGGAAACTGGAGGAGCAGCACCTCATATTCCGCCTTGGGAGCCTTCAACCCACTGGTCTCAATGTGGACTTTACTAGCTTCAAAATCTCCCCACACCCGACCTCATCCCATGACCAACCCTCCCTCTCATCCCTGCCTCCTTGACCTGTCCGTCTTCTCTCCCACCTATCCGCTCCTCCCACCTCACTGACCAACACCCACCAATGCCGACCTGCACTCACCTATCACCACCCCATCTACCTTCCCCAGCCCCACCCATCCTCTCTCTATTTATTTCAGAGCCCCCTACCCCTCCGCCATTTCTGAAGAAGGGTCCCGACCCAAAATGTCAGCTTTCCTTTTCCTCTGATGCTGCCTGGCTTGCTGTGTTCCTCCAGCTCCACACTGTGTTAATCCAGATTCAATGGTAGCTTTCAGAAGAGAGTTGGATAAATACTTGAAGAATAAACAGATTGCAGGGAAATGGGGAAAGAGTACTAGAGTGTGACTAACTGAATTACTTTTTCAAAGAATTGGCATAGGCTCAATGGGCCTAATAGCCTCCTTCTGTGCTGTATTATTGCATGATTCTATGATGCTCATTATGAATGGCAGATTGAAATGCTCCTCTGCGTCTTATTTCTTTGTCCATGGCATACTTTATGCAGGCCCATCCCAGAATTTAACAAACTGCTTCCTCAAAACAGTGTAAAAGCTTGAAGATTTGTGGGACAGTTACTAAATGCTCTTTTATATTATGGGCTGCTTATCCTTGAAAGGAAACAGTTAGTTTTGCATAGTCAGGAAGGAAAGATCATATCTGGAGTGAGCGTCAACCTGAGTGACTACATAGTTCGAGGATTTTGGATGCAAAGTGAGAATTCAGTGCAGAGGGGAAGATGTGCTTTTTGATTCCTTTTTTTGGATCATAATTTGTAAGGGAAAATAGGGAAAATACTTATAGGCTACAAATTAAAAGAATTTTTAAAAAATTAAATTAAGAACTAAAGAGATTCTGGGCAAAACAACATGTAGTAACTGCATGATGTGGTAGCTGGTGGACCTCATTGTGGTTCACACTGATCAGATCTTCAGCAAGTGTTGGTTACTTGAGGAAATTCAGCTCAGAATTGATGAGCTGGAGTCAGATGTTTCAGCACGGCGACACATCAGGGTTGGGGGGTGAGTTACCTGGACACTGTATTTCAGAAGGCAGTCACACTTCTTAGATTAACTATCTCAAATGCAGTCAGCGGTCAGAGACAGGAGGGTGTGACCACCAGCGAGAAGGTAGAGATATTCTGGAAGTAGTGCTGAAAGAGCCTTAGCCCTTGAGCTTGTCTAACAGGTTTGCAATTCTTGCTCCCTGTATGGATCAGACTGGGGCTGTCGAGAGGATGAGCACACCTGGACCAATTATATAGGTAGAAAGAGGAAAGAGCTGAGGGAATATGTGCAGCCAGGGACTAAACTAAAAAGCAGAACCAAAAAGGTAATAAACTCTTATTATGGTCTCAACACTGATCCCTGCAGAACTCCACGAGTCACCACCTGCTATTCAGAAAAATACCCCTTTAACCCTACTCTCACCCTTCTGCAATTCATCCTGTCCCCTATCCAGGCCCATATCTCTCCAAGTCTTTCTTATTTATGTCCTTATCCAAATGTCTTTTAAACGTTGTAACTGTACTCACATCCAATATTTCCTCTGAAATTTCATTCCACACGCAAACCACTCTCTGTGTAAAAAAGTTGCCCTTCATGTCCTTTTTTAAATCTTTTTTCTCTCACCTTAAAAATATGTTTCCGAATCTTGAAATCCCCCACCATAGGGAAAAGGCATCTGCTATTCTATACCTAATGCTTATCTATACCCCTCAAATGATTTTAAAAACCTCTATAAGGTCACCTCTCAACCTCCTAAGCTCCAGTAAAAACTGTCCCAGCCTATCCAGCCTCTCCCTACAACTTAAACCTTCCATTCTTGGCAACAACCTGGTAAATCTTTTCTGAATCCCCTCCAGCTTAATAATATGCTTCCTATAACAGGGCAAGCAGAACTGGAGACAGTATAAGGCCTCTATAAAAGACTTCACCAGCATCCTGTACAACCTCAACGTGATGTCCCAACTCCTATACTCAAATTCTGAGGAATGAAGGCAAGCATGCTAAAAGCCTTCTTAACCACCCTATCTACATGTGGCACAAACTTCAAAGAATTATGTACCTGAACTCTAGGTCTCTGTTCTACAACATTACCCAAGGTCCTACTTTTAATTGTATAAGCCCTGCTCATGTTTGTTTTGCCAAGATGCAATACCTCGCATTTATCCAAATTAAATTTCATCTGCCACTCCACAACAGCACATTGACCCAATCGATCATGATCTCTTTGTAATCTTAGAAAACTTTCTTCACTGTCCACTATACCACCAATTTTGGTGTAATTCGCAAACTTACCATGCCTTCTATATTGTCATTTGAATCATTTATATAAATGACAAACAAAAGCGGACCCAGCACCAATCCCTGTGGAACAACTGGTAACAGGCCTCCAGTCTGAGAAACAACTGTCCACCATCACTCTCTGTCTCCTGCCGTTAAGCCAATTTTGTATCCAATTGGCAAGCTCACCCTGAATTCCATATGATCTAACTTTACTAATTGGTCCACCATGCGGAACTTTGTCAAAGGCTTTGCTAAAGTCTAAGCAAACAATGTCTACCATTCTGCCTGATCAATTTTTTTGGTTACTTCCTCAAAAAACTCATTCAGTTTTGTGAGACATGATTTCCCTCAAACAAAACAATGCTGACTATCCCTAATCATTCCTTGCCTCGCCAAATACATATAAATCCTATCTTTCAGAATCACCTCCAACAACTTACCCACCACTGAAGTCAGACTGAAAGATCTACCCCAGGCTTACATTACACAGGGGGAGGTGATGGCCTAGTGGTATTATGGCTGGACTGTTAATCCAGAGACCAAGATAATGTTCTGGGGACCCGGTTCAAATCCTGCCATGGCAGATGGTGGAATTTGAATTCAATAAATATCTGGAATTAAGAGTGCAATGAATACTATAAATCCATCGCTGATTGTCAGGAAAAACCCAACTAGTTCACTAGTGTCCATTAGGAAAGGAAACTGCCATCCTAACCTGGTCTGGCCTATGTGTGACTCCAGACCCACAGCAATATGGTTGACTCTTAACTGCCCTCTGCGCAAATAGGGATGGGCAATAAATGCTGCCTGGCCAGCAACACCCTTATTACCATGAATGAATAAAAAAATGCAAAGACACAACATTAGCCACTGTTCAGTCATCCAGCACCTCACTTGTAGTTATCAATGATACAAATATTACTGCAAGGGTATTACTGCAGTTTCCTCTCTAACCTTCCACAATATCCTGAGATACACTAAATTCCAGAGATTTCTCCACCTTTACATTTTCTGAGACCTCTAGCACATTCTTTTCTGTAATGTGAACTGTTTTCAAAACATCAATATTATTTCCCTGCATTCTGTAGCCTCCATTTCTTTCTTCACAGTAAAATATGATGCAAAATATTCATTTAATGTCTCTCCCGTGGTCAAACACTTGCAAGTATTTGAACAGACAGTTGACAGCATCTTTTTGTGTCCTAATAAGCAAGTTTATGCATTACCTTAAATTATGTTCCCATTCATCAGAATTCAAAAGAACTTACCATAGGCTAAATGTTTTCTAGCCTCTGTCTCTTCCTGAATTTTCTTATCCTTGATTTGGCCATCCAATGCCTGTTTATCAATCTACTAAAAAAAAAACTGATCAGTATACATTTTAAAAATACTTAAGTTCCTTCAGTCTGCTTCTCTATTTCTATGGATCATGCTCACTATAAAAACAGGAATAATGTTCATTGTAAAAGTAATACTTCATTATGTATAAACAAATTTCCATTTTTGATATAAACTCCTGGAATTCTCTCTCTTACAGCACTGTTGGTGAATATGGACTACAGCTGTTCACTTTCTCAAGGCAATTAGGGATGTCAAATAAATATGGTCTGAAGAACAATGCTCATGCTCCAATAAAATAATTATCATATACCAGTAATAAATGCTAAAAAAAACAAGCCAAATCAGAGGGAAAAGAGAAAGGTTTTGCTATGTGGTCTCTTTTAATATGAATTATTAATCTTTATGCAAATATTTCTTCATAATTCTTTAATTTTAAAACATGATGTCAAGTTGATTGATTTTATATTCCATTAAACGCCTTCTCTACCTTCCAAATGCTTGTGTACAAATGTAAGTCAGGTTTAGTAGTTGCATAGATTACATTATTCTTACACCTCAATAAGTTAGAAATAGTTGTACTTCAATATGTGGACAATGTTCCAAGCAGTTTGAGAAATGAAGGCACCTTTTATTTTAATTTCAAATACTATTTGGCGACTGACAAGATAAATAATAGTGCACGTTTTGTTTAAACTGCATACCACTATTTCCAAGTATATTGATGCGTTATCTTATTTCCAGATATCATTATAAAACTCTAGTCACACATGAGTATAAACTCCGGACTAAAATCCGCAGTAAAATTATACTACATGACATGAGGAGAAACTGCTACATTACACACTTACCCCAATTGTTCTGAGTCTGGCATTAAAAATCCTGTTCTGCCTCTGCAATTCCAAGTTTCTTCGCCTCGCTGTAATCCCAGCCTCTTTCAAATCAAACGGGCCACCCAGTTTCTGCATTTTCCAATTTTGTTCTTCTCAACCTGAAAGCTAACAAACAGGAGTTTAAGTATATATGAAATTAAAAAAAGACCTTGAAGAGCAAATAAACCAGTAACAAATTATTGTCTTCAACAGTACGAGTCAAGCAAAGTTGAGTCCTTCCGATAGGCATTTTCCTGCCCCAAGAAGGAGATAAACAAAAGTTGCTAGGCGACCGGGCAACGGTTACGGGATTCTGGAGAGTATCGCGAGATCTTCGTTTGGCGGCAAGCTGGTGTCGAAGGTGATGTGTATTCTGCGGCCGTTGAAGAAGTTGTGTTAAGGAGAAATTTTGACGTCTTTCGACGGGAACGGAGAGGTCATTACTATATAGGCCGACACAACTACCTCTTAAACATTAGACTTTAGGAATGGGAACTTTACAATTAATTGAAGTTGAAAATTTCAAGTCGTGGCGGGGCCGACAATTGATCGGGCCCTTCATGCGGTTTAACTGCATCATCGGACCAAATGGATCAGGTCAGAAACACTATCCTTCACACTCTCAGGGAAGGCCTTCCACAAAACTCGCTCCTTATCAATGAAGCTTTCGTTGCCCGCCCGCCTGCCTCTCAGAGTGACACGTCTGTATTGACGTTTGGTATTTGAAATCGCACACACAAGCAAAACTAGGAGAACTAGTCAGTTTCCTCAACAGTCGTCGTCTGTCCATGAAATGTATTGGGGAACAAATGGGGCTAAAGGCAGACCAGTCCCCTGGACCTGATGGGTTGCATCTTGGAATTTTAAGGAAAGTAACTGCAAGGCATAAAAGAATCCATAGATTCTGGATAAGTCCGAAGGCAATTGGAAAAATGCCAATGTAATACCCATATTCAAAAAGGAGACAAAATGGATAACAAGAGGCTAGTTGGCTGAACATCTGTCGTTGGGAAAATATTAGTGCTTATTATAAAAGAAGTAATAGTTGAGCATTTAGAAACATTAAAAAAAGAGCAGAGTCAGCATGGTTTCATGAAGATGAAATCATGTCTGATAAATTTATTGCAGTTCTTTGAGAAGGTAACAAGCAGGGTAGGTACAGGCGAACCAGTTGATGTAATATATTTTCATCTCCAAAAAGCATTTGATAAGGTACTGCACATAAAGGTACTTAGTAAGTCAGGAGCCCTAACTGTTGTGGGTATAATATGGATAAATACTGTACCATAGGGCTGCTTTCTCAGAGAGAGTAATGATTGGTGGTAGTTTAACCTAGGGTAATCACACCTCCAGTAAGGGGAAAGTTGAGAAGGAGAGTTATTCCAAGTGACCTGAGTTTGTGTGGGAATTGAATCCACACTGTTGGCATTGCTCAGCATCACAAACCAGCTGACCAGCTAAATGAGCTAGCTGATTATGGGTAGAGCAAAGCTAACTAATAAAAGATAGCGTGTTGGGATAAATGAGCCATTTTCAGGATGGCAACCTAACTAGTGAGTGCCACAGAGATCAGTGCTTGGGCCACAACTATCTACAATGCATATTAATGATTTGTTTGATGGGGATAAGTGTACTCCTTGCGGGTTTGCGGATGAAGCAAAACTAGATTGGAAGGCAGGTAATGAGGATAACACAGGAATCTGGGCAGCACAGTGGCTGAGTGGTTACCACTGCTGCCTCACAGTGCCAGGGACCCGGGTTTGATTCCTCCCTTGGGCGACTGTCTGTGTGGAGTTTGCACATTCTCCCCGTGTCTGCATGGGTTTCCTCTGGGTGTTCCAGTTTCCTCCCACAGTCCAAAGACGTGCAGGATAGGTGGGTTGGCCATGCTAAATTTCCCATAGTGTTCAGGGATGTATAGATTAGGTGGGTTGTAGGGGGATGGGCCTGGGTGGGATGCTCTGAGGGTCAGTGTGGACTTGTTGGGCTGAAGGGCCTGTTTCCACACTGTAAGAATTCTATGATCTTCTGTGATCTACAGAGGGATATTGACAAGTTAAGCGAGTGGGCATAAACTTGGCAGATTGAATGTAATGTGGGGAAAATGGGTTTGGAAGGAAGAATATAAGAGCTGAATATTTTTTAAATGGATAAAGACTCCAGAAAACTGCAGCACAGTGAATTTGGAGAACCAGTGCATGAATCAGAAAAAGACTAGCATCTAAGTTCAGCTGTAAAAGGAAAGCTGCATGGAATATTGGCCTTTATTTCAAAGAGAATGGAGTATAAAAATTGAGTGGGTCTTGGTTAAACAAAATAAGGCAGTAATAAGACCATAACTGGAATAGAATGAACTGTTTGGTTCCCTTATCTGTGGAAAGATATACTGGCCTTGGAGGCAGCCAAGGGAAGGTTGATCTCTGCTATGGAAGGATTTTCTTAGGAGAAGTTTAGTAGGTGGATTTTTATTCATTGGAGTTTAGGAGAATGAGAAACCTTGTAGGAGGTTGTAGGAAGCTTGACAGGATAGTTGAGGAGAGGTTGTTTCCCCTTGTGGGAGAGCCTAGGGCCGTAAGGCACAATATTAGGGTCAGGAGTCACCCATTTAAGACAGATGAAGAAGAATTGTTTATCGCTAAGGATGGTCAATCTATAGAATTTCTTACGGCAGAGGGCTGTCGATGCTGGGTCATTAGGTATATTACAGATATTCTCATTTCTAATCATTAAGGGAATCTAGGGTTATGGGGGTAAAGCAGGATCATGGAGTTCAACATTATTAGATCAGCCGTGATCTTGATGGATTTGACTTTATGCACTGAAAGTCCTACCTCTGCTTCTGCGACATCTTCTGGTCTTAAATTTAAAGCCACAGTACAAAAGGAAAGCTTTAATTTTCTTGACACCTCAGTAACTAAATTGGCACAAGGCAACAGGTGTAAGTTAGTATAACAAGTTTTTAAATAACTGGCGCATGCTTCTGTATTCAAAAAATGATCTTCCTAAACAGTAAGGTCCCAGTTGATGTGTTTCCATCACATACACACACAACTAGAAGATTGTAATTAGGCAGGTACTACTATTTTTACTGTATGTCAGATCTCGAACTTCCATTTAAATTTAATAATTTACGTATATGGTTATTGATCTAACCTTAATTTCAGTTGTGAAAGAGCTCCAAACTCTATAGCCCATCGTGTTTAGAAGTGTTTCCTGATTTCATGCCTGAAAGACCTGCTTCTAATTTTTAGATCATGCTCCCTAGTCCTAGACTCCCTTAAGTTAGTTGATGATTTACCCTTATCACAACAGTGACTATATTTTGAAAATATTTAATTGGCCTTGTTTTTACTGGCTTCAGCAGACTCCCTTTCAATCGCCTCAACCTCTCCACCCCTCTCACCCACTCCAACCTCTCCCCCGCAGAACGTGCAGCCCTCCGCTCCCTCCGCTCCAATCCCAACCTCACCATAAAACCCGCGGACAAGGGAGGTGCAGTTGTAGTATGGCGCACTGACCTCTACATCGCCGAGGCCGGACGCCAACTCTCCGACACCTCCTCCTACCGCCCCCTTGATCATGACCCCACCCCTGAGCACCAAACCATCATCTCGCAAACCATCCACAACCTCATCACCTCAGGTGACCTCCCACCCACGGCCTCCAACCTCATCGTTCCCCAACCTCGCACTGCCCGCTTCTATCTCCTTCCCAAAATCCACAAACCTGAATGCCCTGGTCGACCCATTGTCTCCGCCTGCTCCTGCCCCACCGAACTGATCTCCAACTATCTTGACTCCATTTTCTCCCCCTTGGTCCAGGAACTCCCTACCTATGTCCGTGACACCACCCACGCCCTCCACCTCCTCCAGAACTTCCAATTCCCCGGTCCCCAACACCTCATCTTTACCATGGACGTCCAGTCCCTCTACACCTGCATTGCACATGCAGATGGCCTTAAGGCCCTCCGCTTCTTCCTGTCCCGCAGGCCCGACCAGTCCCCCTCCACTGACACCCTCATCCGCTTAGCCGAACTCGTCCTCACACTCAACAACTTCTCTTTCAATTCCTCCCACTTCCTACAGACAAAGGGGGTAGCCATGGGTACCCGCATGGGCCCAAGCTACGCCTGCCTCTTTGTAGGTTACGTGGAACAATCCCTCTTCCGTACCTACACCGGCCCGAAACCCCACCTCTTCCTCCGTTACATTGATGACTGTATCGGTGCCGCCTCGTGCTCCCATGAGGAGCTCGAACAGTTCATACACTTCACTAACACCTTCCACCCCAACCTTAAATTTACCTGGACCATCTCTAACACCTCTCTCCCCTTCCTGGACCTCTCTGTCTCCATATCGGGCAACCACCTCGAAACCGATATTCATTTCAAGCCCACCGACTCCCACAGCTACCTAGAATACTCCTCCTCCCACCCACCTTCCTGCAAAAATGCTATCCCCTATTCCCAATTCCTTCGCCTCCGCCGCATCTGCTCCCAGGATGAGGCATTCCACTCCCGTACATCTCAGTTGTCCTCGTTTTTCAAGGACCGTAACTTCCCCTCCTCGGTGGTCGAGAACGCCCTCAACCGTGTCTCCCACATCTCCCGCACCTCATCCCTCACACCCCGTCCACGCAATAAAAACCAAAAAAGAATCCCCCTCGTCCTCACGTACCACCCCACCAACCTCCGGATCCAACGCATCATCCTCCGACACTTCCGCCATCTGCAATCCGACCCCACCACCAAAGACATCTTTCCCTCCCCACCTTTATCTGCTTTCCGGAGGGACAACTCTCTCCGTGACTCCCTTGTCCGCTCCACACTCCCCTCCAGCTCCACCACACCCGGCACTTTTCCCTGCAACCGCAGGAAGTGCTACACCTGCCCCCATACCTCCTCCCTCACCCCCATCCCAGGCCCCAAGAAGACTTTCCACATCAAGCAGATGTTCACCTGCACATCTGCCAATGTGGTATACTGCATCCGCTGTACCCGGTGTGGCTTCCTCTACATCGGGGAAACCAAGCGGAGACTCGGGGACCGCTTTGCAGAACACTTACGCTCGGTTCGCAACAAACAACTGCACCTCCCAGTCGCGAACCATTTCAACTCCCCCTCCCATTCCTCAGACGACATGTCCATCCTGGGCCTCCTGCAGTGCCACAACGATGCCACCCGAAGGTTGCAGGAACAGCAACTCATATTCCGCTTGGGAACCCTGCAGCCCAATGGTATCAATGTGGATTTCACAAGTTTCAAAATCTCCCCTCCCCCCACCGCATCCCAAAACCAGTCCAACTCGTCCCTGCCTCCCTAACCTGTTCTTCCTCCCACCTATCCCCTCCTCCCACCTCAAGCCGCACCTCCATCTCCTACCGACCAACCTCATCCCGCCCCCTTGACCTGTCCGTCCTCCCTGGACTGACCTATCCCCTTCCTAACTCCCTACCTACACTCACCTTTCCTGGCCCCATCCCCGCCTCTTCGACCTGTTTGTTTCCTCTCCACCTATCCTCTCCTCTATCCCTCTTCTATCCGCCTCCCACTCTCTCCCTATTTATTTCAAAACCCCCTTCCCCTCCCCCTTTTCTGATGAAGGGTCTAGGCCCGAAACGTCAGCCTCTCTGCTCCTATGATGCTGCTTGGCCTGCTGTGTTCATCCAGCCCTGCACCTTGTTGTCCCTTTCCCTACCCTGGTTATCTCACTCACTGCTGCCATTCACCTTTACTCGTCCTTACGACTGTTCCAATCACTGATTGCTTCTCTCCCGTGTTTGGTGCTGATAGACTTCACCATCCCCCCATGTTTGAATTTTCCAGGGCCTTTTGGGAGCATATTTGCCACTGCCCTTGTATATTTCACATGTTGATGAACATTATTTTGTGTTTCTGGACTCCTTTTCAAAATTCAGTTTCTTATATGATTTTTTTTGTTGCAATAACAACTTGCCCTCAAAAGATTTGCATAGAATAACATAGGAGATACAAGGTAGAAAAAATGCCAGTCAATCATCCATGTTTGTCCTCCCATCAACCCTCCTTCTAACTCCTCTCAAACTACTATTCTAACTTACTGTTTGCCACTTTTCCATGTGGTTGTCGGTTTCCCATTAAATGCATGCAAACTTCATTAATCACTTCCCATGGTAGTTAGTTCCACACTCCCATCACTCTTTGAGGAGAAAAGTTTGTTCTGAATTTTTCATTAAATTTTTTGGTGACTGTCCTGTGTAATGGCCTTTAATTGTGCTCTTCCACACAAAAGGACACATTCACTTTCTTTCCACTCTATGAATATATCTCATAAATTTACAGATCTAGGTCTCTCCTCAGCTTTTATTTTGGTAGAGAAAGAAATCCCAGCTTGTCCATCCTTTCCTGATGTTTATAAATACACATTTCTGGCTTTATCATAGTAAATATTCTCTGGATCCTCTTCAACGCCTCCGTGTGCACCAAGGTCTCTCTTTTTTATACTCCTGTAAGTAGGGCCATTTGGAACATGCAGCCTTTCTTGTTGTTCTCAAGTGTATCACTGCACACTTACCTATATTAATTTGTATCTGTCATATCATAGAACAGACTCATGGAATCTCTACAGTGTGGGAACAGGCCATTTGGCTCGTCAAATCCGTACCACCCCTCCAAAGAGCATTCCACCCAGGACCCAACTCTATCCCTATAACTCTGCATTTCCCATGGCCAATCCACCTATCCTGCACATCTTTGAACTGCCATTTTCATCAGTCTGTGTTCTACATTCTGCTGTTCCTTGTACGCTGTTCAGGCAAGCTTTGTATCATTCACAAACATCAAAATTATACAAACCTATATCCACTCGGCGGATTATTTATACATAAAAAGAAAACAGATAGTCCTGATAGTACCAACACCTGGGGGAACCACTGCACACATCTCTGTAGTTAGCAAAGAATGTTTTCACAACTACCTGCGAGCTGTGAATCTAATTTCCAACTGTCCCTTTAAGGACAATGTACTACTTACTGACTAAGTCTGTTATGTTTATCAAATACTTTTCGAGAGTCAGTATGGGCAAATATCTACTGCACTAGTTTCCCTGTCAGTAAATGCCATCCAATGATGGTGTTAGCTTTCAAATGGCAACACTCTTGACTTCACAATTCTGAGACTGTTAATCCAGTGAAGTGTTTGATGAAACAGTACAGAGTGCTGTACTGTCCGTGCTAATTGAATTCTTTCTGGGAGAAATTGTACTCACAGTTGGCACATGGCACTTTCCTGGGTTGTATCTAAAGTTCTAACGGTTGTCTTGTTTTTGATCTTCAAATAAAAGGCCACTAAATCACACCACATCCTTGGTTTATGATAACCTAAGTTAGCTCCAATTCAATCAGTAGTTTTTATAGCAAAATCTACCCTTCCATTTGCAGAACTGGCAAATATAATTTCACAACAGACATATGTGTCAGAGCTACACAAAGCTATATTTTATATTGATAGCCACTCATTGTAGAGCCTTATGATTTAATGTGATTTGTTGATATTCGTTAGTTATCACGTGTTTTTAACAGATTTGGCAAAACCTCTCATAGAGTCCTGAACTTAAAACTGATTCTTTAATAAAATCTCACCTCCTAGGGTTCCTAATGATTTGGGATATTGTGAGATTTTGAAAAGCTATATCAATTGAAATTCTTTCTGGCAATATTAGCAAACATTTAATGTTTATGTTTCTTTTAAATTGGATAAAGTAACTGTTGAATTGATTGCTTTCACTGGTGTTTACATTTACAGATTTTGAAATAATGGTAAGTAGGTGTAACCTTTAGAAGTATTGTTTTTGTGTTGCAATAAATTGTAATCTATGTTGTAATAACTGTTTTTTTACTATGAATATTTCTATAATTTCCAGTACAGCTTTTTTTTTTGCTTTCACTAACAGGCAAATCCAATGTAATGGATGCTATCAGTTTTGTGATGGGTGAGAGAACTGCCAACCTCAGAGTGAAGCACATCAAAGATCTGATTCACGGTGCTCATATACGGCATCCTGTGTCATCTACTGCAAGGGTCACCATGCTGTATCAAAGAGAAAATGAAGAGGAGCTGTCATTTACTAGAGCCATTATTGGTAATATAGGGAGGGGGGAGGGGCAGCAGTTTCAATTGTAAGGTTTTGACATGACTTAATTGTATTGGTAGCCTGTCTTTTAGTTGACGCTTGTATTTCTGTAACTGGAACCAATAATGTAATTAAATAAGTTGCAGTTAAAATGTTTTTGGAAAGATGACCCATGTTCCTCAATTGCAAAAAATTGTTAATAGGACTCTTTGTCATTGTCTTTGATATGCAAATGTGTTTTGGGAAGAAAAACAATTACAAGCCAAAAAATCCATCAAAATTAGGTTCAAAATGCATGAGGGTGGGAGCTGAAAGAGTTTCCAAAATAACCTGCAATAAGATAAACATTGGAGTGATAAATTGAAGACTCCCCGACCCCGAGGTTTCATATTCCGTTACATTATGGCTTCTCAAAATACATTATAGCTCTTCTGATTCTTGTTTAACAATTGAAAGGCCAAGGAGCAAGAAAGCAATGCACAGTGTAATTTCAGGAGCACTGGGGAATAAAATCTTGGTGTGAGGAGCTGTTCCCCCAATCACAGATTCTGTCTTTCCCATGCTGCTGTTCCAGTTCCTCAATGACAGATCCCCTTCCTTCTGCTTTTACAGCAGAATCAGTGATTGGAAGAGCAACAAAAATGAAAAGTGGAGAAAAAAAGCCTGTCACTAGATAGGCTCAAAAAACTATCCTGAATGATGTGCATTAGAGGAGCAGGAAAGTTGACGTTTCAGGTCGGGACCCTTCTTCAGAAATGGGGAGGAGGAAGGGAACTCAGAAATAAATCGAAATAGGAGGGGTGGGGCTGGGGAATGTAGGTGGGATGGTGATAGGTGAGTGCAGGTAGGGAGTGGTTGGTCAGTGAGGTGGGAGGGTGGATAGGTGGGAGAGAAGATGGACAGGTTGTGTCAGGTCAAGGAGTTGGGGATGGTGAGACCAAGCGGAGACTCGGAGATTGTTTTGTAGAGCATCTGCGCTCTGTTTGCGACAAACAATAACGCCTTCTGGTCGCGAACCATTTTAATTCCCCCCTCCCTGGGTGACATGTCCATCCTTGACCTCCTCCAGTGTCACAATGACCCCAACTGCACACTGGAGGAGCAACACCTCATATTCCGCCTCGGGAGCCTACAGCCCAATGGCCTAAACGTGGATTTCACCAGTTTCAAAATCTCCCCAGCCTCATCCCATGACCAATCCTCCCTCTCATCCCTGCCTCCTTGACCTGACACAACCTGTACATCTTCTCTCCCACCTATCCGCCCCTCCCACCTCACTGACTAATGCCTACCTCTGCACTCAACTATCACCATCCCACCTACCTTCCCCAGCCCCACCCCACCTCTCTATTTATTTCTGAGCTCCCTTCCCCTTCTCCATTTCTGAAGAAGGGTCCCGATCCGAAATGTTAACTTTCCTGCTCCTCTGATGCTGCCCGGCCTGCTGTGTTCCTCCAGCTCCATACTGTGTTATCTCTGACTCCAGCATCTGCAGTTCTTACTATCTCTATCCTGAATAATGGCCCATTTGACTGAAACTGTCAACATCCTTTGGAGTGGAGCCTGGGAGAGAAAGCAAAGAGTAAGAGGGAAATCAGGAGGGCAAAAAGGGGACATGGAATAGCTTTGGCACATCAGGGTAAGGAGAATCTGACGGTATTCTACAAATACATTAAGAACAAAAGGGTAACTGGGCAGAGAATAGAGATCCTTAAACATCAGTAAAGCCACCTATGTGTGGAACTGCAGAAGATGGGGGAGATACTAAACGAATATTTTACATCAGTGGAGAAAGATATCAAAGATAGAGAACGTGGGGTAATAAATAGCAACATCTTGAAAGAGGTCCATATTACAGAGGCGGGGGTGCTAAATGTCTTAAAATGCATAAAGATGGATAAATCCCCAGGACCTGATCAGGTGTACCCTCGAACTCTGTGGGAAGAGAGGGAAGAGTTTGCTAGGCCCCTTGCTGAGATATTTGTATCATCGATAGCCACAGGTGAGGTGCCGGAAGACTGGCGGCTGGCTAACGTTGTGTCACTATTTAAGAAAGATGGTAAGGAGAAGCCAGGGAACTATAGGATTGGTGGGCAAGTTGTTGAAGGGAATCCTGAGGGACAGGATTTACATGTACTTGGAAAGGCAAGGACCGATTAGGGATAATCAACATGGCTTTGTGCATGGGAAATCATGTCTCACTAACTTAATTGAGTTTTTTGAAGAAGTAACGAAGAGGATTGATGAGGGCAGAACAGTGGGTGTTATCTATATGGACTTTAGTAAGGTGTTTGACAAGGTTCCTCATGGTAGATTGGTTAGCAAGGTTAGATCATAAGGAATAGAGGGAGAACTAGCTATTTAGATACAGAACTGGCTCAAAAGTAGAAGACAGAGGGTGGTGGTGGAGCGTTGCTTTTCACACTGGAGGCCTGTGACCAGTGGTGTGCCACAAGGCTCGTTGCTGGGTCAACTGCTTTTTGTCATTTATGTAAATGATTTGGATGTGAACATAGAAGGTGTAGTTAGTAAGTTTGCAGATGACACAAAAATTGGAGGTGTAGTGGACAGCGAAGAAAGTTATGTCAGAGTTCAATGGGATCTTGATCAGAATTGCTAATGGGCTGAGGAGTGGCAGATGAAGTTTAATTTTAAGTGAAGTGCTGCACTTTGGAAAGGCAAATCAGGGCAGGACTTAAACACTTAATGGCAAGGTCCAGGGCAGTATTGCTGAACAGAGAGACATTGGAGTGCAGGTTCATGGTTCCTTGAAAGTTGAGTTTGCAGGTAGATAGGATAGTAAAGAAGGCGTTTGGTATGCTTGTCCTTATTGGTCAGTGCATTGAGTATAGGAGTTGGGAGGTTATGTTGCGGCTGTACAAGACATTGGTTTGGTCACTATTTTGGCCTCCCTCCTTTGGAGGGATGTTGTGAAACTAGAAAGGGTTCAGAAAAGGTTTACGAGGATGTTGCCAGAGTTGGCGAGTTTGAGCTATAAGGAGAGGCTGAATAGGCTTGGGCTGTTTTCCCTGGAACGTCGGAGGCTGAGGAGTGACTTTATGGAGGTTTATAAAATCATGAGGGGTATTGCTAGGGTAAATATGTAAGGTCTTTTCCCTAGGGTGAGGGAGTCCAAAACTAGAGGGCATAGGTTTAAGGTGAGAGGGGAAAGATATAAAAGCGATCCAAAGGGCAACTCTTTCATGCAGAGGGTGGTGCATATATGGAATGAGCTGCCAGAGGAAGTGGTGGGGGCTAGTACGATTACAACATTTAAAAGACACCTGGATTGGTATATGAATAGGAAGGGTTTAGAAGGATATGGGCTAAAGCTGGCAAATAGGACTAGATTTATATAGGATATTTGGTTGCTGTGACTGAGTTGGACCAAAGGGCCTGTTTCTTTATATCACTATGACTATAGTAAAGGAATGGAGAAGGTGACCAGAATCAAGAACACAGGTCAGGAGCAGGCCTAGAGGAGTTGCCTGTACCAAAAACTGGAACAGCAGCTAGTGGAGAGAAGATCTGTCATATTTTAATTTCCTGTGGTGGTGATGGGGGCTGAAGGTAATGAAAATTGATGCAACCTTCTCATGGATGACAGTACCTTTCTGCTTTTACTGGAGCTTGATGTATGTAATCTGTCAAGATCATGCTCTGTTGTTAGTATGGGTTCATATTGTGTTGCATTTATTAACTGCATGAAAATCAGAAATGTTTTTGTGCTCTGTTGTCTACTTTGATTAGGAAACCCTAAAAATAACAACATAATCACAAAGATAATGTTTCTTTATGAGTTCATCTTATAATGGAGTTAATTAGAATGAGAAAAAGACCCTAAAATCAAAAAGCAACTCATGAGATGATCTCAGGAACTTTTGGAAAAGGTGGGTTTTCATACTTATAAATTTCTGCTATTCTGTGAAATAATAGGGTTGAAAAACATCTATTGTAATTCTGGAAATTAAGCATACAGTGGGTATTATTGACAATAATTAATAGATACTGAATCTGTGGATTGGGAATGGAAATCAGGACTTTGAGTCTCTTGAGCTGAGTAAATTAAACTCGATTTTCAGGGGTCAACTTTTTATTTAGTTTGGAGTTAGATTTAATGGTAAATTAGTAGCTACAGGAAGAGGAATGGAAGCTGTTCACATGGTGTTGGTGCCTGAATTCGACTTCCAATGGCTGCCATCACTGTGGCTGCTCTGAGAGCATTGAAGAATCAACCAGAAGACCATCGTTGAGAATGGCCTTGATTCAGTGTCCACAGTGACATTGGAAAGCACTTCACCTGGAACAGACCAAGACTGAAGTTTTGCTGAAGAACACTAAGGAGAGGAGGGAGGCCCTCTTCTTGAATGAGGAAATCCTCAAGCTAGAGGCTCCCTCTATAGAAAAAGTTGGCCTGGATTGAGGTGAAAGCCACTATCCGCTACAAGAATTGTTATCAGAGCATCCTGGACTCAGTGCCACAGAAAGGCACAATGATCTCATAAGCTTTGAAAATGTGAATGCTATCCCAAGTCTGAGGGTGGGCAATTTGGCTACAACTTCCAGATGACAACAACTGGGGGGCCTGAGGCTGCATGCTGTTCTTAAAACTGAGAGTGGTGATGCCTAAGACACATCCATCAGAATACTTTATGGTCACAATGCTTCTGAGGATGTACCAGCACTGAAACATTCTTCTTCTCCTGGATGAGAATGGAGGCAGTTAGCCACAGAGGACAGCAGTACCTTATAAGTCATATGTTTTCTTCACTTTGTTGGAGAAACAGGCACACAATGCCTTCCAGACAATCACTGGAAGACCATGCATTGAGATAGTCAGGATTCTGGATGAAGAAAATGTTAGTTCTGGTGAAATAGAAGATCGTGAAGGAGATGGCAATTACAAAATGCAAGTTGTTTATTAGTGGAGGGTGCACTTGATGTCACCATGTCCAGTAGCATGCTGATCACCCAGTTTGTATTGTTTAATCATAGCGCTGCTGTGTTTT